GAAGAATAAAGGGACAAGATCTTCTGAGCTAATTTGGAGCTAATAAATATTTTTAAAGGAAAAGAAAAGAACTTTCATCTTCTCTATCCACACCATTCACAGCTAAAATTTCCATTAACCTTTGTGACTCTCAAGAATCTTTTAAAATATTCTAAGTTTAAATTTTGTATTCTTTGGTCTCTTTCTTTGTGTCTTTCACCCTTCACTGTTTATCATGTCAATCTACCTCTGGATCTTTATTATGACTTTTCCTCTGTCTTAAACTACAGACAATAAGTTAAATCACTACAGTCAGTAAACACGTATTTTGCAGCTTTTATAAGAGCTGTTTTTTTTTCCAAGGACAAGATGTTCAAAGATCTGACATCTGCTTTTATTAATGTAGAAAGAAAAGTAGATATACTCTGCTTTTAGGAAAATTCTCCCATATACAGTTTAATTTCATAATGTCTCCAAAAGAGGAACAAAGGGATGGAAAAGTGAAAAGTAGCACAAAACACTGACATCCAAGCATTGCTGAAGACATTCTACATTATTTCCTAAATTAGATTTCACATGGCTCACACAGATTCTTTCAGTCCTACATTTTACAGAATAGAAAAATTAGAATTAGACAAGTGGATTTGGCACCTCACACAGCTAACAAGCAGTGCCGAGATCCAAGGGCATGTCTATATCTCAGGACACATTCATTTTACACTCAACATATGAGACATACAAGACATTATCATGCCACATGCAATCAGAATTTGGAATGAATTGCCATGCCTCCATCCTTATCAGAGAGAAGCAACATTTTTAGCTATAGGCAAATATTTCAAGGAAATGAGTAATAGATACAACATTTCATAACCATGTTTATGCTAAGCCCTAAGCGTTATTACTGTGAATTGTTATAAACAGCCACATCAACAAAGAAAAAATAAGGGTTTTCAATACATACAGAAAAAAGTAAAAAAAAACAAACATAGCTCAAATCATGTCAAATATGTGATTTACCTAAATCTGCTTTACATTTTTATTTAAAGACAAAATATTTGCAATGTGTATACCTAAAAGAAATTTATTGTTGAGCTTTATTTGAGAAAAGCAAAAGTTATTAAACCCCAAACCATAAATATGTACTCAAAACTTATTTCATGCTTTCATTATATTAGACTTTATAAAATATCTACCAAGAAGATGAAAATGTAGTGATTTAGTTTACATCAGGGCATTTCAAAGAAGAATAGTGGTTGCCTTTTTAAATACTTTTTCCTTTAGCAATTACTGAAACTGCTATTAAATAGCTCTCAAATAAGACTTCAAATTTTCAAGGGATCAAAAACACACCTCATTGCTAATAAAGTCATCATTGGTTTCTTTTGATCCTTGCTTTCAGATTCGGTCCAGTTCCATCTTCATGAAAAAAAAGTATGCTGTCTTTTTACTTTACTTTTTTTTTTTTACTTTTTTGGGGGTGGTGGTAGTTCCTTTGGCTTACAAGTTATAGCTCATCACCAAGGGAAGACAAGAAAGGTATGCAGGGAAGTCCCTGGATGTAGGGACTGATGCAGATGCAACTAAGACACTGCTTACTGTCTTGCTTCCCATGACCTCTCAGCTTGCTTGATTTCCTCCTTTCTTTCTTCTTTGTATTTTTCTTGTAATCAAGGAATTGAAATTTTGAACTACTTTGAGATTTTATCTTACTCCAGTAAGAATGGACGATCAAGAATAGAAATGACAGCACATACTGACAAAGGTGATGGGGAAGGGAAACACTCATTCATTGCTGGTGGGAGTACAAACTGGTACAGCCGTTATGGAATTGAGTGTGGAAAATTCTCTGGATGCTGAGAAATGATCTAGCTCAAGATGCTGCTATACCGCTCTTAAACACATATTCAAAGGGCCCTACATCTTCTTACAGAGATACTTGTTCATCCATTTTCATTGCTGCTCATAATAGGCAGAAATCAGAAAGAGCCTAGATGTCCATCAACTGCTGAGTGGATAATAAATATGTGGTATAGTTACACATTGAGATATTTAACCATTTAAAATGAAATTGTTCAAATTACAAATAATTATTGCAAGAAATTAGTCAGTTTGCAAGTAAACAGATAGAGCTAGAAAAAATTCATACTGTCTAAGGTAACCAAGACCTCAAAAGACAAATATTGTAGGCTATCTCCTGTATGTGGATGTTTACTTTTAAACTTTCAATATATGCGCTACAATATGAATAACTACAGATGTATGTACCTAGTAAGTAACCAGTAGGGAAAATGTGATCTTCCAATGAAGAGGGGATAGAATATAGTGTTTTAGAGACATAATGGGGAAACTAGAGTAGGAGGATTAAATAGGGAGGAATATGAGAAAAGAGTAAAGGAGGGAATATGGAGTGAACAACAAGCACTAGAGGCATTTTGAAGGACCAAATGGAAACCCAGTACTGCTAGAGCTTCCTAAAATATATAAGAAGATGAGAAGAATTTAAACAGAGTCACCACATAATGAGGGACACAATGCTCTAAATAAACATCTATGCTGTCAAGTAAAGCCTCCAGTGCCAGGAATTATGCCGTTTAACTCTCTTAATGCAACTTTCATTAAGATCAAAAGAAATTCAGATTTTTATTTGGTTAGGATGCCAACTCCTCTTAAAATATTAGGATTCTGAAGAATCCTCTAAAGTCACAATGAAGTCAGTATTTCATATGAAAGCTCCAAAGTTTCACTCTTAATGGGTGTGTTTATGAATTCATTGATCTAATTTCTGAATGTAGTTAATCATATGCTAATAAATTACAGGAAAGTAAATAATTTGCCCAATCATTTTATCTTATCCATTTACATGCATGCATTATAATCTCGGGAGCTATTAAAATGTTTGGCTATTTCATCTCCATTTTCAGAATGCTTCTGTGAGCATAGTCCCTCTACTGTAGCCATCCCAACAATTTATACCTGCTTTATCTAATCTGCTTCATCTGATCTGCTTTATCTAATTTCATATGGTTTAATATAGTTTTCATCAATATTTTAACATTTTTCTTATGTTCCATATATTTTCTCATGTGTTTATTTTCTAACACCATTCAAAACACTTCCTATGTGTGTTCATTTTGAGGGGAAAAAATACCCAAGGCAATTTTGAGTGTCCCATTTCCTTAGTTATATCCCAGGTATTGGGCTCCCTGATTGACAATTCATTCCTGCTGAATAACTCACAGCCCAACTCCACAGTCCAGGAGATACTGTTTCTTCTTTTGCATGACCTATGACCTGCCCTTGCCATCCCCTTTGCCATATTCCTCATCTAATCCTACTGTGGTATGTGAACCTTAAGCTGAAGCAGTCATTTCCTCAGATGAGCACAACTGTGGTTTTAAATTCCCACACATCTAATAAATATCTCCAACTAGGCATCCTATAAACACACTCACTAGGATTTTTTGTACGTTCTCAGGATTTAATCATCACACACCAGATATTATAGTCTTTTTCCTATTTTCTTTTGCCTCACTGACTTGTTATGAAGAACACAGTTTCTTTTCTAAATGCATATTTTTATTGAGTGTGTGCCTGTGCATATATATGCATTTCTATTCTTGATATGTACATACATATATATGCGTGTCTTATATCTGCAGAGTTCAGAATCATGTGCCAGACTTCCAGGAACTAAAGTTAAAGCTAGTTGTGAATCATGTGGGTAATGAGAACTGAACTTAGATCCTATGCAAGACCAGCAAATGCTCTTAACTGCTGAGTCATTTCTACAGCCTCAGAATATGGTTTATTATTAGTTTATATTGACCAAAACTTATGTATAAGTATGTGCGCATGGTGAGTGTGTGAATGTGTGTGTGCTGGTACAAATATGTATGTATGTACATACATTGTATATGTAAATTTGTACTTGTATGGAAGCCAAAAGTCAATGTCAGGTCTTGTTCCTCAGGAGCCACATACGTTGTATTTTTGTGTATTTGGTTTGGTTTCTTGAGCCAGAGACTCTCACTGTTCCTGGGCCTCATTGATCAGGCTAACCCTGATCAAATTATCTTTCATCATTTAAATAATACATGCCATTTTTATGTTATACCACCAGTGTATAAATTCATGGTGTTTACTGTGTTCTCATCTTTTAATATTGCCACTGTATGTATTATATTAAAAAAATGCTAACTCAATGAGTTCCAAAAGTGTTTTTCAAGAAATCGCTAGATATTTTAGAATAAAAGGATATATGGACATTTGAAATCATAAAGTATTCCATTATATACATTCAGCTATTCAAATAGATACATTCATTGGTCTACAAACAATAAGCAATTACAGGCTGTCCGTGATTTGTCTTTGGTTCGATAATCTTTTTTTCCCCTTTTTATCATGGGAGAATGTAATTAACATTCCACGGGAACCATAGCAAACACTTCACAGTTTGAATTTAACCTGGGGAATCAATGCATGGAGTGGTACTCTCCTGATGTTGGGAGCAGTAGCTCTCATCAGCTGTGAAGTACAAGGTAAAGCATCTGGTTCACCACAGTGAACCCTGAGGTTAAGCTATGAAATTGAGCAGCTTAGATGTATTAAATGCACTATTTACTTGCATTATTTTCAGCTTACTCATAGTTTTATTAGAAGGTAACCTCCTTGTGCCTGAAAAAGCACACAACTTGAAAAATGTCTAATTAAAACAGAATACCTCTGTCTATTTTTTTAAGATATATGGTAATATTTGCTTAAGCCTGATCTGATTCAATGGTGTCTTCCTCTATTTGACTTATCTAAAAAAATGCCTGTCTAGACAGAGAACTCAGGGCTTGGAGAAAACTGGGAAGCCTTTTGTAAGTAACAACTCAGAAGATGCATTTTAGTTTAAAGACATTTTTTTCCTTATGAAGCAAATGCATTGTTAGGAATGTACTTCACTTGCATGCCATTTCCTTACCTTCTGCCCTACAACCTACAAAAACCCAAAGCAAACATAACTGAAAACACACCTGTTGGAAGGGGAAGAGCCGATTCTTCCCTTGTGGAGAAGTGAGATGGCAGGCAGCTCTTTGTAAGTATAATGTCATCGAGGGCAATATTACCAGGGTAGCCTTCCCCAACTCTGCCTTCAAATTTGAGTTGAAAGTCTTCATCACTAGACAATGATAATTCTTTTCTCTGCCAGAAATTGCCCTGTTCTTCAGTGAGATTGAGGAGTACCTTTGTGTGGTTCGTGACTGTCACCTGGAGCAAGATGAGGGCCCCAATGCCAGTGCCATGCATGTGATAACTAAACATGATCTGTAACAAGAACAAGAAGTTACAAAAGATGAGTATAATTATTTCCACTTCGAAAAATATTTTAATATCCTCTTCTTTATTAACAGATATGGAAAGCAAATTAAATGTGGATGTTCTATTGATTCCTAAGCACTTTAGCACTGAATGAAGGTAGGATAGATAGTCTTGAATTATATGCAGGGAAGATAGTATAATAAAGTTGAATAGAAATTCAGTAGAAAACTGAAAAGTCTTTATTTTTCGATTCCTAAAGTAAGATTCCCCAAGGTTAAAGATTTCATATTTTCTCTAAAATCCTCATGTTGGCAATTAACCTTCAATGCCAAAGTACAGAGAGTTGGGAAACTTTATGAAGCAATTAAGTCATTGGGGCTCTATCTGCACTAATGGACTGATGCCACCATAAGAGTGGCTTCATTATGGCCCAAATGGGTGTTTTCATATTAAATGGCGGAGGTTTGTTTTGCTTATCCTACCACATTTTTATATTAGAAGCAAATTTTTATTTGTATAAGATCCACAGGATTCCATACAGCAAACCCTTCAGAGTTGATATTACTTGGGATGCCCAACAAGAGGCACCAGCAGAACAGACCCTGGAACTTCTAAAACTAATAATGGTACTATTTCAAGGGATTCATATTCCTATGTTTTAGAGACAGAGTTTGCTAGAGTATCAGTCCTGTGACACAGTTGAAGAAAGTGAAGGAAAATTCTGGGGAAAAGAAGAAAGTAGGTTATAAGCAACAGTGATTCAGAGCTTTTATGTTGATAGGTGCCTGAGAGAAAATTATTATAGAAGGCATCTTTATACAAATAGAATACACTATTGAAACACCAACATTTGTGCGTATGGTACTCTGAAGAAATAGAATGTATATGACTAAAAAGCTAAAGATATGATTAATTAATATGTGTTGTGGATTACTACAAAATCCTGGACTGAGAGGAGAGGCATGTCACATGAACAATTAAAATTCCCTAGCTGATGAAATCTCCAAGTATTTTTTTTATAAAATTATCTTCCACTGATTGATTTTTCCGAGATGAATTTTATGATGGTTTTTCTTAAGATATTAAAACCCACCTAGACTACTGAGTTTAGTGATGAATATAAAGAACTGGACTAAGCCCATGAAGCATCAATCAATACTAGGAATTCAGGATCAGCTTTGTGACCTACTGCAGCCACAGGCATCCCCACCCAATGTTCTGATTTGCATTCTTCTCACTTATATAAAAACTATGACACACATATTTTATATCTCTTCCTCAAGGTATTTTTGAGTCATGCCAATTGCTTAATATGATACACCACCCTCAACTTTCTTTCCAGGGAGACTATTGATGGAAACATAAACTATCCCAGGGCAATAAGAAAGAATTAACATTTGCAAACTATTAAGTCTTTTAAAGATTTTTATATAAAATTTCCATTATATTGGTATTTAATTTTTCCCATCAATTTTGGTATTCTCCCTGCTACCTGTCTTTCATAAATGAAAGAGAAAAAGCAATTTAATTTTATTTGATTAAAGCTATTACATAAGATGAAAGAACACATAATTTTTCCAAAAATTTGTCATCATTTTGCTTACCTCATACAAATATTTGTCATCCTAGAGACCCAATAATTCTCAGGATGACTTTTTCTTTCCTATTTTATTCAATCTAGATCATAAATATTAATGAAATAAGCCATTTCTTAAAAATTTGACACTTCCAGGTATCTCTTAATATTCTCAAACAGGTGATTTAAATAGGAACAACTACAGTTTGGTGACCAAAGGCACATAAAGATTGATGAGATTTTTAGTTACTATGCAAAACAATTATTTTGAGCATTTTGAGCATAGGAAATACTGAAATAGAAAAGCTTGGAAGTCAAACTATAATTTTACATATTTCATACTTTTCTATTTAATTAGATGTGTATACTACAACTAACTTGCAATTTTGAGATTTTTCTAGCGATAGATAGAGCTAAATTTATGGACATAGTCTTAACATATATGAAATCTTGTGTGATTGGCTTTTAATTTTGAGGAAATGTCAGTTCTTTGCAAGACAGGAAAACCATGTAAAAGGATGCTTTATTAAGATTCAATTTGGTACCAAATCAAAGTGTAATCCTGTTGTGTGATTTCTCACTTCTGCTCTAAACTTCTGGCCAAGTCCTCTCTCTAAAACTCCCATCCAATTCCTCGTGTGTAAACCTCACTGCCCAGCTGAGTGCAGAGATTGCTCTGGGAGAGTCCAACTGTGAAATCAGCTTAGGATAAGACAGAAAATTCCCTTTGATGAGCTAAAGGTTTGCCATGGGTTGAGACTGATGGAGATGATGACTGCTGCTGAAGGTAGATCCATAGACAAATCCTAGGTTACAGCTACCTCTGCTGTGTACACGGTACAACAAAGAGCATGGTTTTGAAGATCATAATGGTTTAGATTGTATAACTTTCATCTAACCTGACAAAAACTTCTTTGAATGTAACATACTTCCTTTCAGTGTTCAAATATTGGTGGGCATCCAACACAGTGTATGTATGCTGTCACATAATTTTAATGTTACATATCTCATATTACAAGTAAGTAGGATATCTACTTAACATTCTCTAATAAGCAAGGTAACAGGGGAATCACTTTTAAGAACTACCTTAAATTACATTTTATAGTTACTGCCTTAAATTACATTTAGTTATGTTGATTTCTGTAGCTGAGAAACCTTAGACATTTATTCAAATTTTTATAAGCTAAGGATGAAGTCATGTTTTTTTTCTTGCCTATAAATTTTCTTTCTTGTTTTAAAGACCAAATATACTCTTCCCCTCTCTGGAAAGACTTCTCCGTCTCTTTTAAATGCCTCAGAGTTTTGGATATATTATTTATATATTGTCTATTATTTATTTATTTTTCTTAGTGGTGGTCATGAAATTGTCATAGTTTCCATAATCACTAAATTCCCGGGAGGGGGAACAGCATTTTACTTATTTTGTATTATATATAACTGTGAAAATTTAACCATGGCATTTCCCCAGACATCTGTATAGTACACTCATAGGAGAATTCCTTTAATAGTTCTAATAGCCGTTCCCATTTGTTCTTTTCCCCCTCAAATATGCTGAGTAAGTTTGAAAACACATCTTCTCTCAGCCCAGGAATTCTGTTTTCTGTACGTGATCTTTTTCAATAGTTGTTTTTAAGATCCCTGAGTTTCTCTGAAGCCCCATACCTTGCAGTCTTTGCTTCTCCTGCTTATAACTGGGCTTGAAATTCTGGCTGCTTTCATGGGCTGCTGTGGGAAAAAGCTTTTGAGAAGAATGTAATGACCAGAAGAATTCCCAAGGGTATGGTCCACAGCTGGCCAGTCTTTGCTTCTCCTGCTTATAACTGGGCTTGAAATTCTGGCTGCTTTCATGGGCTGCTGTGGGAAAAAGCTTTTGAGAAGAATGTAATGACCAGAAGAATTCCCAAGGGTATGGTCCACAGCTGGCTCTGTACTCGTAGCTGGGATGTCGCTAGCTTTCAGATTCCAGTCAATGTCCTCATCCTGATCCTGCTCCCAGGCACAAAGGTCAAATTCGAAGTCACAGCGCCCACTAGAGGTACCTGGAAAAATTGCCAATTCAGGTTGGGAGGAAAGAAAAACTACCTTTCAAGCAACTCTTTTTTTTTTCTTTTATTTCCCCTAAATCTTTTTTTATTTCTCCCCTTTTACTGAAAATAGATTATTTTCTTAATCAGCTCACTCTACCTCTCCTGGTTCTTCCTTACCTCCCCTCCCCTCTGGATCCACTCCCTTTCTGTCTCTCATTAGATAGAAATAAACAGGCTCCTAAGAGATGACAACCAAATGTGACAAAATAAAATATAATAAGATAAAGCAAAACCTTTCATATCGAAGTTGGAGATGCAACCCAACATGAGGAAATGTCCCAAGAGTCTGAGACCCACTTGTTCTCAGAGTCAGGGCTCCAATAAAAATACTAAGCTGAAAGCTATAACATGCAAAGGACCTGGTGCACACCCATGTAGGCCCGGTGCTTGCTACTTCAGTCTCTATGAGCTCCTATGTGCCTTGCCCAGTTGATTCACAGGGTCTTGTTCTCCTGGTGTCTTCCATCCCCTTTGACCCGTACAATCTTTCCCCCTCCTCTTCTGCAGGGTTCCCTGGGCTCTAAGAAGAGGGAATTCATAGAAACTTCCTTCTAATGCCTTATCATCATACCCAAAGATCAATGCATCATTCATTCTTCTCTGTGGTTTTTCTACTTGCAGTGTATAGGATTTAACACAAAGACTCACAACACAACTAGCCATGGTGCAGAGAATAACAGATTTCAGAGTGCTCAGACTAAACGGAAAAATTTACTCCACCACTGCCCCCTTAACAGGCTCAAGGACCACTGTGGAAGATACTGCTAAAGGAGTGTAAGATCCTGAGGTAGTAGATGGTTACCAGGAAACAATATCTTTGGTACAAGGCAGGGAGCTGTACATATGAATTTGCAGCAGTTGTAACAGCATGCACAAAAACATATGCAAGGCAAAGTAAAACAAAATCCCAGCAAGCGGTAGGGTAGGATGGAGTGGGTGTGGAATACAATTCCACGGCTAGCCATGGAACACTTGGCAATTGTCAGTTTCTGGGAGAGAAAGAGTCAGTTTTCTCTTGAGAGCTTAGGCCTTGGTAAGTGGAACACTCTCTAGTGGAAGGTCACACATCCAAGAACATCTGAGCATCACAGATTTGTCTTGAAGGATGTAAGAATAGCAGCAGCAAAGAAAACTTGGCATCAGAGGGAAAAGGAAGGATTGAGGAGGAATTGGAGGAGCTTGAATATGATCAGAACACATTGCATGAAACTCTCAAGTAAGTAATACAAATAATTACATAATCCATTAAGAAAAAAGTTTTAATGTTGTACACCTTTTCTCCCTGAAATGTATTCAGTCAGTGAAACTATATCTTTTCTTTCATCTTTTTTTCTTGTCTTAGTAAAAACAGTTTAGTAATGCTATTATTATGTAATAGAGTTTCACTTGAGAAATGAGTCTGAAACAAAATTATAATTTATCATTTTAATTGTTTAGAAAAATCACTTAATCTAGGCATGGAAAATTTGTGGTATTTTACATAAAAGTAAAATATGTATAATAACTTGAATTAGTTATTGCAGTAAGTTGCAGAAATTAAAGGTTAAGTTGTACTGAATGCCAAACTATCTCCCAGATATTCTTTTGAATATTTCATTACTTTTATTGTTTAAGATACTTTTTCTTTCATTCCCATTTTTATGGAAGTTACATAGACATCTCTTAATAGTTACATAATAGGCCATAAAGTTAACAATGGTGGTGAAGATGCTCCATAATTAATCCATATGCTACAATTGGCCATGACTTACAAATTATTTGCTTAGGACACATAAAAAAATCTTTAAAATTTTTTGATAAGTATGTTGTTTATTGTTTTCCCCTTTACTTCCCTCCTTCTAAACTCTTCCACAAGCCCCCTTGCTCTTTTTCATTAATTATTGTCAATTACATATGCATATATGTATACATATGAACACTTTAAAGACATTTTAGTTTGTGTAGAACCAGAGTATTATTAATTTGCTCAAGTGTAGCAATATATATCATTTAGAAGTATTTTCAAACAATAATTTCTCATTAATACATACTTAAATATTAATGAATAATGAAAACTTCTGAAAGAATAAATATATGTGAGGCAGTATCAAGAAGCTGAGAGTGCTTGAGAAAAACTATTGCAGCATGTCTACCTGTATTCAAACAAACATCCTGTGAAGAAAGCTTATTTGGACAACTGTTTGAGTTATCCTGAGGCTATTATATCTACATGAGAATGTGAATGATTTTGTCATCAAAACACCAGGACCCATCCTCTCCAGCACACTGGCCAAAGAAAAACGAACAAAAAACATGAAGAAGGTGCAGCAATTTCCAGATAAAGAATTTACTGCACACCACTCTTAAAAAGAATTATTTCTATATAGCAGCAAAGGAATATATTTTATTTATAGATAAATTCTCATCACTAGTCAAATAAAGTTTAAATTAGTAAACTGTGTTTCTATAGGTTATGATGGGAAAATTGTGAAATAAACAGGTTTATGTTTATTATCATATCATTTGTAATGATATAAATTTTGTTGTTACATTTTATCATTTTGGAGACAGACTAATGATTTTTAGATCTTTCCTTTCACCACATTAAACAGACAATCCTATGGTAGCTGTTCAATGTCTGAAGACACTTTGGGTTGTCTTATTCTGTGGTTGCTTTGACAAAGCACAAACCCAGTACCATTTTCTTGTTCCCAGTTGGAAGTAGAATCCTCCCTAATATTGTTCTATAATCTGATTTCTTAAACTGTCTTATGTTTTATTAACCTGTTTTCATAAAAAAGGAATTGTGATTCACAAAAGTATTTGCATTCAAACACACACATATACCCTGGGTAAAATATTGCTAGGTACATACTCTACTACTGTGCTAAATTCCCAACCCCACTTTTTTATTATAACAAAAGACTGGCCAAATTTGGACTCAGTTTGGAGTCATGTTTTCATCTTTTCATTTGCGAATATCTTTAAAATCTTTTTGCCTGACTGTGATCTGTTTGATTGTCCAGAGATTGTCTCTGAATCATCAAATGATCACTCTGAATAACTGTGAGGTGTGTCTGGTTGACCTTGAGAGCTTTCTGGGACCCATGAGATTTCTGTCTTATCATCAAGTAAAACTTTCCCCTTATATAATATAATATTGTTACCTTAGAGAAGGAATTGCCTGGGGGAGCATATATTTTAGATCTCTCTGAATTGTTATCTATTACCTAGAAATAACTTCTGAATACTGGCTCTATTTCCTTCTGTATTACATCTCTGTGGATTCTACTCTATCCCACTATGTTTAGGGCTTATAAATGTCATGCACTCCTTAATTAAAAACTGCTTTTTATAGTGTGAGTCCAGATGCGAATCAAAAATTTGATGGTATGGGTTCTAATGGCTAGGCTTACAAGTTGAATTCTCTTTTTTTTCTTCTTCTTCTTTTCTCATACAGTATATCACAACAGCAGCCTCCCCTTCCTCCACTCCTCCCAGTTCCATTTTTTACACCTTTTCTTTTCTACTCTTATCTTCACTGTAGGTATTTCAATGTAACACTGTAAATTTTTTTTGAGGCATTATAATGTTATCAAGAGATACCTCTAGAGAGACCAGCCTTCCTCCAGTGTGAGGGCCTGCCAACACCTGTCTACAGAGTGTTAGGCTGCAAAGCAAAAGCTATTTCCTTAGACTCTTTAACTACCCTTTAGGGATGCATCTGATTTTGTGAAATTAAATACACTTTTATTCAATTTGAATTTGAAAAGCATTTTAAAGCACATATGTAACTACCACAGCACCTTAAAACATTTAAATTTCTAGTTTTATTGAACATTCACCAAGTAATAAATCCCATTTAATATTAATATATAAATTTATAATATAAATAATAGCCTAATTTGTGGTGAATGTTGTATTCAATTTCCAAATATTATATGCCTTTATTTTTTTACCTAAAAACCAAAATCTCACGGAAGTATTTTGAAAAATGAATCATCAATTGAGTTTTTATTTGTTTGTTTTGTGTTTGTTCCATATACAAATATCTTTTAAAACAGTAAGTTATGTTGTGTAAGAGAAAGGTACTAGTTCATATCTTCATTGTATCTTTTACTTTAAGCTTGCAATTATTTTGACTCAGAGGTCTATGTTAAATTGATTAGTTACTTGTTCAGCTAACTTTAAATCTTAGTTGATATTTTAATTATCCATATGCCACTATCTACACTACTACTAGGCATATTTCCATACCATGGTTTATTAATTTCTTTTACCCTGTGTAACTTAGTTTCTAATCCATCACTTTAGACCTATAATTTTATTCATTGTAATTCTTTCATCTTTTGTGATATCTATGATTTAACCTCAATTTTTGCATCTTAATATTTTTTTCTCAAGAAAGATTTGAACTTTTTGGTCATGGAATTACTCTTTTCTAACATAATTCCTGCTTAGTTTCCCTTATGAAGGCAACTGCTATTTTTATAATTCTTCCTTATCTAATTCCATTCCAGTCTGCCTCTTTATACTCATACTGCCTTTTACTCCTATTTTATACATATCCTCTTTTTATGTGTTTAATATGCACAGTGTATATTAACTTGATTTTTCCATGTGAAATTGCAATAACTACATTTTAGATGAATGAAATCACTCCAATATTTCCTACCCTTGTTATTTCAGAAGTCTCTGGAGAATAGTACAGAAAGTACTATTGGTACTATTGGCTACTCTTGGTTCTCTCAATATTGTTTGATGTAGAAAACCTTTACTTGAGGTCCTGCAATGTCCGTATTCCAATTTCTAGTGCATAATGGATAATTATTGTGAGCTTTTATAATGAGGTGGAATTCCTTCTCAACCTGTGAATCTCCAGTTACAATATTTGAACAATCCCAACAGCAACAGTCCAGGGCACAGATCATCATCATATCCCAGTTACTATTGTCTTCCTATATGTACTGCTA